GGTTATTTTTCTGGTTAGTTTCAATAAATATGGTAATTTTAGTGATTAACTTTACAATTTATTAATATTTTGTTATAGACAATGTAACACAAAAAATATTTATATGAAATTTACCAAACGGTTTTGAAATTATGTAAAATATACTTGAATTGTTTATAATATTCTTTATAATATTATTAAAATAGTAAATATACTATTGAAAAAAATTAAAACAAATATATGTTGAATAATATAACTTAAAGTAAAGTGAGAAGTGTGTAACGTTCAAAAATTACATCAAATTTAAACTTTTCAAAAACTACTCATTTACTTAAAAAGTGTTTACGTTACCATTGTTCTCAAAAACATTATTTAAAATCAGAGTATCCCAAGATCCAACAACATAAAACCAAGGATGTGTACGGTCATGCCTTCGCATTGCTACGGTCCTCAGAAGTACTTAAAACAAAACTAAAACTGTAAGCCAACGCTTAGTGAGTTCCCCCAAAGTACCACCACATAATCATAACAAACAACAAGATACATACAGAGCCTTCAACATGACTGGACCGCCTGACTGGGCCTTCAGCCTATCTGGACCGCTCTCTGGGCCTTAAGCCTGACTGGACCGCCTCGCATGCTTTCACTCTATCCGGACCGCCATGGGTGTCTTGGTCTTCAGTATCAGCTGGTCCGCCTCAACCCAATAAACCATAACCATAATATATCGATATAAACATTATCATAATATTCAGCAACACATGTAGTCCTACAGATCTACCAGTCTAATCACATAACCATTAAACACATATCTTATCGTAACAACATACAACAAAACAAGATATCTAATCCAATGGGCCGACCTTGGTGCATTCGACCCATACGTACAGTGAATAAAACTCACATCTCAGTTCGGATACAGTCTGAATGAATCTCTGCTCCGATAACCGGCTCTACCCAACTCCTAATAATCAAAATAATTCCCAATATAAATTAATATTAATTTCACAAAATACCCTTGGTCAAAATTGGTCAAAATCAGCCGAGTCAACCCAGCCGAGTCAGCTCAGCCCTCATACGCGGGGCGTGCTTTAGATGTACGCGGGGTGTACTCACTGTCCGAGGAGTCGAGGCTCAAACTGCATACGTGCAACATACCAGTTAGTACGCCCAGCGTACGCAGCTGGTCTTCCACTTAATGAGTTAAGAGCTTAATACTTGAGCTATAACGGCCAAAATGCATATCCAAGTCCCAAATATCATCCTTGACCATAAAGTTTCCAACTTTATGGTCTTACATGGCCAATAAGTGCTAAATGCTAAAACCCCCACCCTCTTAACCCATTAAGACAATCAAACACATGCATGGAAAAGGATTAAGAGCCAAGACCCTATTTTTATGCTTCTAAACCCCTCAAAAAATCTGAAAGGACAACTAGAATGGACTAGTGCATGCCATACTCCAAAAAGGTCAAGACTTGGGAAAAAATGCTCATGAATCAAGGACTTAGCAAGATCTAATGAAATACAAGCCAAGTTTGAAACTTTATACCTCTTGGAGGTTGCTAGAGAGGTGAAGATCCTAGATCCAAGGCTCCTTCAAGCTTCCAAGGTAGTTCTACTTCCTTCTTCCTCCTTCAAGATCACCAAACACACACATACAAGGGTCAAGAATGCTCAAACAAGTGGCTAGGGTTTGCTAGAATCGAATGGAGGTGGTGGAGGTTGATGAGAGATAAGGTTGGAGGCCATAAAGATGTTTAAATAGGGTCCAATCCCTAAAATTTAGGGTTTTCAACCTTCGCACGTACGCCCTACGTATATGATGTACGCCCAACATACTAAAACCACACATGCACGCCCAACGTACACATGTACACCCGGTGTACTAACCTTCGACGTGAAATTACAAAAATGCCACTATGGGCCATTTTGCAAGCTTTCTCATACACAAGGGATAAATACCATAAACCTTCATAATTAAGCGTTAAATTTGGCTATACCTCATTGCCGAGATGTTACAAAGTGGTTTAAAGAGGTTGGTTCAGTGTTGCGCCATGCAGCACACGCGTAGCAGTTTTTAAGTTAGAAGGGTTCTAAAAAACAAACAGATGTGAAAGACCAAGTGTTGCACGTGTGCTGCACTGCACAACAAGATGTGGTCATAAATGGTTTTCTAAAAAAAAAACAAACAACCCCTTAGAAAAACCTCTTCAGACCATTTTTTACTGCACGACGCAGCACACAGGCATCACTTGCCCTCTCGCAACAATTTCTTATTTGCAAAGCTTCAAACTACAAAACCTCTGCATGTTTTTTGCACGACGCAACACTTAACTTGCCTTTTCAAACCTCTTCATCTTTTTTTTTTCAAGTGATTTTTTTAGAAATTTGGTATAACTTGATTTTTTTTGGTAATTGTCACTGTAGCCCAACAAACTTACGTATTTTGGTTTAAAAGGTCCCTCATCTCTCTCTCTCTCTCTCTCTTTTTCTTTTTTGCATTCTAAGGGTACGAAGTCATGTTTTTAAGGTTTAAAAGGTCGTTTTGAAAAATTGAAGGGGTCATCCGGTGAACCCCCTCCTAGTCAGCAGGTTTAATATGCAAAGTCAATTATTAAACTCTCACCTCAATTACCACGTTACATGACCGACAATAACCCTAAATTCAATAGCAATGGCCATGAAATCAACGAAGACTCCCTCTACTTCTCGTTTGAGAGAAAACCAATAATCATGTATGAATTGCATCACAAGAAAATCAGAGGTTTAAATCAGAAAAGATAGCAGCGATGTCTCTTGCGATTTTAATCAACATTCTTCTGGTTCTTCACTCTATTCTTCATCTTCTTTGTTATTGACAGAGTCGCCTGATCATGAACATCAAATCTGATCGACAATGGTGATTTTGATTATGATTCAGTTACTGGACCGACTCCTAGATCAACACCTCACAAACGGGTCAGGGAAAGCTGGTATAGAGGTCAGTACAGGCAAGGATTGAGACATGGATTTGGTGTATACAGATTCTACACCGGAAATGCATATTTCAGTGAATGGTCAAAAGGTCAAAGCCATCGATGTTCAAGGCAAGGATTGAGACATGGATACGGTGTGTATAGATTCATCGCCAACAAATATCTCGAGTGACATCAAGCAATGGGAGACAAATACTATGTGCTTGTCAAAAATGGCAATTGATCCTTGGTTCATCTTGTTTCTTACAGTAACATTGTTTATTGCAAGTGCGTTTTCAGGTTGAAGTATGAAAAAATCAGCATTATCACTCGCTACAAAGCCATGGATGTGGGATTCATACTTCTGAAAATGGTAGCAGATATGTCGGAGAATTCAGTTGGGTTGTTAAACATGGTCTTGGCCATTATCATTTCAGGTTATATAACAATTCCTCAAAGCTTCTGATTATATCATTTCTTGATCATGTTTATTTAAAATTTTTGACAAACGATGAAAAAATTATAGTTTCTCGATTGGATCCTTTTCCATTTGAGTACCTTTCTTTCTTCAGATCACCCAAAAGTAACAAACCATCATCACCTCACATTACATTTATTTGAAATAGTTTTTGTGAATTTTTAGAAAGAAAAGTCACAAAACTCGTAAATCCCAAGCTTCAGCAATGATGGGGGAAGCCACAGGGCGAGACTAAACCCTTTGTTTCAAGAAGTCTACCACAAGCTCTTCATCAGTCGGGAAGAACCGGGAAAAACCTGAACCCTAATGGTAATCGAAGGCCACCATTGTTAACGAAATTAAGCTTTTCCATTTCCCGATTTTGAAAAAGATAGAAGAAAAAAAGGTGAAATCTTTTTGTTTGGGTAAGAAAAAAGTGTTAGAGTAGTGCTTAGATTAATCCTCAAGTTGCTGACGAGGCAGGACTCTACTAGGCGCCAAGTGTTGTTGACGAGGCTACATGTCATCATTTTCTAACCTATTTGGCAGATCTAACCGGTTATAATTGGTTGTTTACCGAAATTAGCCGATAAAACACAAGTTTTTGCCCTTAGAAAGCAAAAAAATAAGATGATGGACCTTTTCAACTAAAACATACAAGTTTGTTGGGCTGCAGTGACAATTACCCATTTTAAAAAACTTTGATTTTTTCTTTTTTAACTTTGATTTTTTTTTAACTTCGATTTTTTTAAAGTTTGATTTACAGATTTGATTAAATTTCTTTTTATAGTTTCAACAATATTTTATAACTTGATTTTTTTTTCAAAACCTTTGATTTTTTTAATTTTTTTTACCGTTTCTTTTAATAATATTTTTAGTTTCGGTTGCATCTTTTTGAACATGTGTTATTCTTCTACGAATTTCTAGACATTGTTTGCAATATTTTCTTAATGTTTTTATAATTTTTTTTATGTTCTTTAAAATTAATTTTTCTAGAAAAAAAATTGATAGTTTCTGTTACATTTTTTTAGAAATTTTATATTTTTGTTTTTTTACATGTTTTTTTAATATTATTTCAATGTTTTAAGACTAAAATTATTAAATATTTGGTGTTGAGAATTATTTTCGGTTTGTGAAAATCAGTTTATTTAAATTTTAGTTTATTTCTGCCTGCTGATGTTAAAAAAAAACAAACTTTTTATTATATATTGTGACCGTTTGGTCTATCTCTTCTGTTGCAGAGGGTTGCAGAGGTGGTCCACATATTTCATAAATTTTCATTTCGAAAAGACAAACAACACCTTAACAAGTTTGATAGATAATCGTGATTTTACTTTTTATGTTCCACATATTTTTCATAAATTTATATTATTAATTTATATTTCAGAATTCAGATATTTAATTACTTAGGTACTTCTTAGTTTTATGTCAAGTCAAATATTACGTTTAAAAACTAATATTTAAATTGTATCAGTAAATTCATGAATGTTTTTTTTATCTATTATAGTTTTTTATTTATCATAAAATTCCTTCTTTTTAGCCATAAAAATCATCTCTCTCTCTCTCTCTCTCTCTCTCTCTCTCTCTCTCTCTCTCTCTCTCTCTCTCTCTCTCTACAAATACTGCATTTACAATTTTTGCACCAAAATGGCAACCCACAAGAAAGGAATCATGTACGTATACAAACTCGACACAGGAAATCACCAACCGGAGCCACACTACCACCCAATAACTCCTACGCCAACCACCATCACAAAGAAATCCATTTCCTGGACCTTAGGATCACTACTACGGAGATCCAAAACCTACCGAGAAAAGAACCACCATCACAATCCCGACAAAGAAGATACAAAAGAAATGGTTCAAGAATCTTCAAGAAAGTCGGTTCCGGCGATTGACAGCGGTAGGAGGTCGGTTCCGGCGACTAGTGATGGCACCAAATTGGTTTCTGTGATTGAGCAAGGGAGGAAAACTGTTTCAGGGATCGGAGAAGGGAGGAAACCAGCGTGGGGAACTGAAGTGGGAATGGTGGCAGGGCGGAGATCAGCCGAGAATAGGGCGGAGATGGTAATGGTTAATGTGGGGGAGTTGGCGGAGTTGTTTCAGGTGAAGGTGTTTGTGACGGACATGCCGGCGTTCATGCAAGTCCATGCATTCCGGTGTGCCAGAAAAACTTTGGATAGTTTGGAGAAATTTACCCCCAAACAAATTGCTTTCAACATGAAAAAGGTATGTAATTTTTCTCAAATTCTACAACTTTTAAAGTATAATATACATATAATTAAAGAATAATGTTGCGGAAATGGTGACCATAAAAATGGGTGCATTTCTTTGGGAGCAGAAATAGTAAAAATTCAGGTTGTAAATAATGTCTATTTTCATTGATTTTGTTGTATATTAATCAAATTATCTACCAAAAGTTATCAAAAAATAATCAAACAACCAAACATTTTTTTCATCAAACTGTTTTGTTGTCTTGTCTTAAATTATCATTTATTTCAGTTAATTAGCAAAAATGTAACAAATATGAATATGATATAACTGATAATAACATAAGAATAAAATCATATAGTCGATATTTGTAAGTATTTTAAGATACAATTAAATATAACTTTCAATTTAGATTTTCTGTTTATTATCATATACAAATTAATAAATTACGTACAGTAGTTACAATTAAAAAGTTGCAATATTAAAATCATAATAGTTTATATACACATATTTAAATTAGTAATAAATTGGATATATTTGGTTAAACATAAAAAACCAAATTAATGTTATTTATGATAACTATTTATTTTGAACAAATGCAATTGCATGGTCTTTTTATTTTTTATTTATTATTATTGTTATTGTTATTATTATTATTATTTATTTGAAATGACAAATCTAATTACTTCAAACTACTCCTTAATTTCACTTATGTTCACAAAAATACTTGAACCCGAACCTTAAAAAATGAGGACAACACATGATACCGTTGGATTAGAAATTATTTGGTTTCTTTTTTATAATATTGTAAATATATGTCCGTTCATTACACGAAATACAATTTTATATATATATATATATATATATATA